CCGTACCGCGATGGGCACAAAGACAGCAGTTTCCTCTGCCAACATTTTCATGTCATATATTGAAACACAAAGTCTAAGCTAAACCGTCTTTAGACCAGACATCGCAACTTTCTTCGAAGAAGCAAACTTACATGATCCTACTATTAAATTCACCACCGAAATTCACTGAGACAATGTTTTTAGACACAGTAGACAATGTTTTTTATACAAAGGCACAAGATTAAACGAAAAAGTTATCCTTGATGTAAAGACTACGGAAACCTTCCAGCACACATTTTGCGGCTTGTCACCCACCGAGTTGTCAAAAGAGTTTGAGGAAAGTGTTTGAAAATTCAAAAGAACCCTTGATGGTTGATGATGAACAAAGGCTACCAACACAATTTGAAAGACAAATTGCAATCAGAAATAAATGAAACTCACAGAAACCGAAGTCCGCGCTCCTGAAACAAAACCGAACAAGGAAGGAAAGAAATGTTGCCTTTTGTGACACAATACCAGCACTTAGTGTCTACTGTAAAAGAAGCTTTAATGGAAAAGTGGAATCTCATACAAAACCAACCGCTACTTTGCTAATTTTTTAAAGAACCACCCCTTATTTCCTACAAGAAAGGAAAACCATGGCAAAGAACATGCTTGTTAGAGCCAAAATATTAAAGTCACGCCGGTATAGATGTGCAACCTGTCACCCCTTGCAGTTTTTCACCAAAAATAATTTACATATCCAAAAGGTTAGAGTGGGCGTTTCCCTCTGTGTCCGATTAACCTCTCTTCATTACTTTTTATGGTGCCCTGTAAGCAACAGGGAAACCAAGTTCGCATTTGCAATAAAAGCTTTGGTGAAATATGCTATCATGTTGCATAATGAAGTTTAAGTTCAATCAAATGATGCATTTTTGCAATTTTTACATGTTTTATAGGGGTCAAAGTCGTGAAACCGAGTGAAACACATAACAAATATGAATAATTAACATACATTTTTACTTATTAACTAAGATTAACCGACAACCGACAAAGATCAAAAATTTTAACCGACTACCGACAAAGTAACTAAATTTTAACCGACTAGCTACAAGTGGACCCCCCATTCACACCCTCTTTGAATGATTTGCTCGCGTTCTAGTCTCAAACGTTTGAAGGATATATATAAAAATGTAATCGCAACGCGATGAATTATCGCAAAGGTTAGTCAAAAATTATATTATGATTTCATTGCACTAGTTTTTCTAAACATGTAGCGCCTGTTTGTTTGATTTTGTCGGCCGTACGAAGGTTCCTTTAAAAGTTTACTAACGCGTCGTTGCAAAACATTCTGCTTCACGAAGCTTAATTCAACAAGATCTCCTCAGTCACATCCATTTCTCAATGGTTTCTTTCTCACAGTCTCTATTGTTGCTGTTTCATTTCTGCGTATTCCTTTCACAATTATCTAAGCTTGTATGGAAGCTGGCAGAAGAAATAAGCCTTCAATCGCCATAAGAGCGCTTCCCATCTTTTGGTCCTCCGGCCAACGGCAATTAAGTAACGCCAAAAAATCCCGATTTCGCCCAAATCGAAACTAAACGGGAACAATATATCATTGATCTGTAATCCTGAGAAGTTTTAGTGTAGTATCGAACTCGGCCAAGCACGATGCAAACAGATTTTTCAAGGTTCTCTTACTCTCCTCGCATCTTTTGATTTCGCGACATCCTGTCCAAAAATCAAAGTTTGGCGCATGCGCAGTAACAGGATACTTTTCCTTTAATTGTCGCTAACTGTTCTTTATTGTGACAACTAAGCCTAGATTTTTTCTAGTACTTAGTGACAACATACCCGGGGGTAATACCATTTGCAAGCTATATTGGTGTGTAGCACAACGGTATGGGTTTGTTTAGTCGTTTTGGTCTCATGAAAACGGATTTTGTCCATTAGAGTCTCAAAACGGGTACCTTTTTCAATGGAACCACAAGAGTTTATAAATGTATTTTTGCCTAAGAACTTATGGATCAGTTTAGGTTTCTGGGAAACGCCAACCTACCCCTCCCTTAAGCTAACATTAACACTTAGTTCTCACTTAGGGCAAAATGATGGCTTAGAGGAGGGGTAGGTGGGCAGCTTCCCAGAAACCTAAATTCCCCCAAACTTATTCAGTATCAGATACTACTAAGTGGAGATAAAAAAAGGCTCAAAATTTGCTTGACTTCTCTTGGACGAGGTAATGGGTTCCCAAACCGAGTATAACGTTTAGAGCCCGCTATGACAATGGGTAGGTAGTTTAAGGGGAGTGTTTCGGTAACTAGTAGGGCGAATTTTATGCCCTTTTCATTAGATCACCTTTTTTTAGTTTCTCCCTATTTTACCGTCCCTCCTTTATTTGCAGTCTGCATAATAGCCGCTATTTTTTGAGGCGCAAAGCGTGCGTAAAGCGCGAGACACGCGCGACGGGTGAAAGCGCTTTCTCGCGCTTCGCGCTCACCTCGTACATATCTTCACTCGCCTAAAAAACATGAAGAAATGACCCCTGTTCTGCAGATTACATTATATTCAGCTTCCCTTTAACTAAACTAAGGCCAAATACTTGTAGGACATAACTATGCAAAACAGTCCGTCATGCTTCATCTGTAGAGACTCTCGATCAAGATTATAGAGTTTTGATGGTAAACGAACTATCAGAACATAAAGCTTATGGCTTTCGGTTTCTTTTTGAAACGTTTATCAAAGATCTAAAGAGAGTTAACTTAAAAAAGTTTCTTCTAAGTGCGCAATAGTTCTGTTGTATTGGCTCTACGTTATTGCCGCAGGTCGAAGTTTCTTTTCACTTAATTTTGCTTCCAGACCGTTCCAAAACCAGGGCTTACTTCGGAAGCTTGAATAATTGACTGAAACAGTCAAAAATGGTCACAAAAATGCTATCATTCCTTACCATCCGTTCGACGTTCTTTTAAACAATCTCATAGTCTGAACAATCGACAGGGAAGCTTTCCGCATCATTCAATCCTACCATGTAACTGAACATGCCATTTCTTATACAAAGTAAAGGTTTTTGACCGCGTGTAGAAAAAAGGCTGCTTACTGCATTATTTTTCTTACCGTTTGGAACTCCTGACTCAGGCAGCAAATTTCGAGGATACGAAGTGTTTATAAGGTATCATTGAGCTTCTGCTTCAATGACGAAGGGAAACAGCCTGTCAAAAAGAAAGCGGAATGTTTTAAGGCGTGACGTCGGTTCTATTTTCATCATTAGACCTTCCAAATACGCGTTACTGACCAAGCGTGAGGTCAATATGACAGGATATTTGGCCAAATTCCCTTTGAGACGAAGTCGAGGCCAATATCCAGTTATCTTGACCGAACAAGCTTGGTCAATAGGATTTATTTTATGGCAAAATTATCGTGGTTTTGATTCACAACGATTTGTCTTGCTGTTATTTAGTGTTTTACGAGTAGGCAGGCTACCAAGACACTGATTTATCTCGTTTTTTTCAATTACCCTTCCCAGCGTCGTTTGCGTCAAAGCCAAACGTTACCATGGTCCATTACGCGATACTATCGCCCACACTCACGTTTTCCGTTCTCCAAACACACTTGAGACGCCCAGGAACGAGGCAGTTTATTTAAGTATATCGAGTACTGACATCTTTAAGACTAACAGAAATCTACTAAGCATGAGGTGTGGAGAAAAGATACCCGCATGACTGGTATGGGATCAAATAGCGCGTGTGACATCACGATGCCTCGAACATTTCGGATGGTGCGCCTGTGGCAGCACTTAAAGATAGATCTCTCCCCTATTCCTGTGAAGGAAGTCACCAACTTGTGACTTGAATAGACCTGTTTAGCTTGAATGTTTTGTTTTCAGATCAGGCGATGCGGGAATTTACCTTTTGTGCCGCATAAATTATGCATACATATGCACGTGGTTGCACGCGAACGCGCGCGAGCAGAAAAGGTCTGGAGTTAGGGTGCAAACGGAGAGTGGGACTGGAGAGAGACACACCCGATGTGCGTGTGAAGCCCACGTGCTTAGCACGAAAATATCGACCAGGCCAGCGCTTCGCACCTTGCAAAACCGATTTTAAGAAAAGTACGACTGTTTGCAGTCTAAGAGGTCTATTGACAAAATACAGTGTTTTGTATGAAATTTAATCCCCAGCTCGTTTCATTGGAATGGAACAGTGGAATGCAGAAAGGTCCATTTTATGAACTGTTCACAGTCGCCTACTCACCGAGTATATGAGTATCAAATACACTTAGGGAGTGGGGGACGGTTAAACTCAACGCCTACCCCCTCGGTACATTTTAAACCCAAGATGGCCTCCCGTAACGGTAGGTACTCGATCTCGACAATCTGACGGGAGAATAGGTTACTGCGAACAGTCTAAAAAGTCTATTGGTAGGAGATCCTCTTCAGTCGTGATCTGTACCGGGATAAGATTTCAGGAACTTCTGCAGTCAAACCCTGCTTTATGGACACCCGCTTAATACGGACACCTCGTTATTACAGACAGTTTGCTTTGTCCCTGGGGAAAGAAAGCCCCTACATTTTCTCTCAATTCAATCCGCTTAATACGGACACCTTATATGCCTTCCTCAGTGTCCGTATTAACGGGGTTTGACTGTACTGGCTCAACATAAACGCACTGCGCATGCAACGAGCATTTTTGGTTTGAAAGCGCATGCGTAATAGAACGTTCAAATGACGTCACGGAAGCCATATTGGTGTTCCTAAACAATAAAATGGCGGCTATGTTGGTGTTTCAAGCAATTCTCGTGGGAGTTAAGCTCTTTTCTTATGTAAACACTTCTTTTGTTCCAATGAATTTTCCATAGATGCTGGCCACGTGAGTAAAAACGCTCTATTGGTAGTAATTAATTAACGCTGATGTTTTGTGACTAAACTAAGAATGGGTTAACACACAACCCAAGGTAAACAGATCTATTATTAAAGCGACTTAATCTGACGCGCACGTGAAGATTAAGCAAGGATGGGACGAAACAAGAGACCTTCTCGCGCGCACATCTCAGCTCTGTGGTTTAAGCGACAGATAAAGTTTCCCTTTGATGGTCTTCTGTTCGGGTTGTATCTTTCTAACGATAGCAGCAAGCTTTTCAACGGTCTCATCATTTGACTGGCCCGTTCGTTTGCTCTTGAACTTTTGCAAAAGGTCCTTGCTGGTCATGGGCTTTCTTGTGAGGTACCTTCTCACGGCTTCTTCACTGATCCCCTGAGGGTCTTCCTCACTACCGGTCGGTGTTGGGGTGCTTGTTCTTGAGCCTCCTCCTGCCCCTCCCGCGGAAGGTGCCGGGGATACACGAGGTTTTTTGCTTGCTGGGCTTCCCTCTTCGCCAGGGGTACCTTTTTTACTTGCACTTGCTGGGCGCTTCTTTGATTTTGCTACAAAAACCAAGACAATTCAAAAAATTGTTTCAACACTGGGAACATGAAACCGATCGGTAACAAATGGAACAACATCCAAAATACTAGTTTGTAAAATACTGTGAAAGAACTAGTACCTGACGAAGGTTTTACTAAATAGGAAATAGTGGGGATATACTTACAGGGAGTTCCTGGTCTGTCCTGACTCAGCTTTGTAGCAGCGGCAGCAATGGTATTAGCAGCGCCGTCTGTAGCAATCGTAGGGGTTGATGAACGGCTATTTGATGAGGTACTGGAGCCACTCCCAGACTTCTTCTTTTTCTTTTTGTCACCTTTACAAACACAAAATACATTTGAGATCACATACGAGCAAAACACACTCAAGATAATCAAAATTTGTTCACCAGTTTAGTAATTAAGTGTTTTCGCACCTAAGGCAAATTTCCCGTCTCAACGCTGTGACCGGCCACATGTCAAGCGACTAAAAGTGAAACAAGTCGTAGCATTTCCCGCGCTTTGCCACCTCCCAGTCTTTACTCTGTAATTTGATTGCTTCATTTAATTAATTGCCTCTCATGTGATTGGCCAGAGCAATCCCCTTTGTTGCATTTTACTTACGATAGCCTTTCTTTGGATAATCGTAATCGCCTCGATTACTGCTTCGTTAAGTCTCTTGCACGAATGGTGATTGGTCAGTTTCGTTAATTCTACGTCGCTTCGCTGTGTAACTGGCCACATAGCGAAACAAATCGTGGAATTTTCCGGCGCTATGCGACCGCCGCGTCTTTACTCTACTCGTGATTAAGCAAATCGGACTCCTGCTACGCGGTCGTCTGATTTTGTTTATCACTCGTATGATTACAGGCGGAATTGGACTCCCCTAGTATTATTACCATTATCAACGGGCTGCCTGGGTCCACTAGCCCCTATGGTTATTCCAGGCAGCCAAAAAATAAATAAATAAATAAACAAGTAAATAAATGAATGAATGTGATGAAGATAATAAATAAATAAATAAATAAATAAATGAATGTGATGAAGATAATAAATAAATAAATGTGATGAAGATTATAATGAAGTATGACGGGGTTTTACAACCATGATACCCCGCCCAGAAACATCCCTCTCTGTTTTTACTTTATGCTACACATTCTAATTACAAAAAATATCTAATGTATTTGTGGCTATTTTTCCCGCAGCTACACGTAGTTTAAGCTCAATGAACTAATGTGTGGTCATTGAACTACTGGTGTGGTTATTGAACTAACAAAAAAGAAAACTGAGCTGTTTTAGAGAATCAGATCAAGAAGGGAGCATGCGCGAGCCATGTTGGTTAGGGCATAGGGGTGTTACCAAAATTTTTTTTCGGTGACCAGCTGACATTCTAGAAGCTTCGCATGAGTTCATAGTTTTTTATTTTATTTTAGGATCTTGTGTTAGCCTTTCTACAGCATATATTTTGTAATCATTTTAAAATTAGACTATTTGAAAAAGGTTCTAGAATTTTACTGTGTAAGTTTATAAGTAGATGAGTCCAGACGAGGTATTAACTAGCTTTCACAAGCGAAGAGAGTTTAACGTTGGTCTTGCATAGTCAAGTGTGACGGAAGCAGTGTTTATGGAGTTTAAGGTGCAGTTGCAGAGTTTTACTTGGTGGAAACTAAGTGCATAATTTTTTTTTACTTTCTGAAAATTAGTGAAACAGGAAACCCAGTATATAGCAGTATAGTTCATATTGTCTATACATTCAAATCCCAATAATATGTCCATATTTAATAACGGGGTATCCATTTTATGGGGGTGAATTTGAAGAAAACGTTAGGGATTTCTTTCCCCAGGGACAAAGCAAACTGTCTGTAATACTGAGGTGTCCAAATTAGGTGGGTGACTGTAAAAATGACTGTACATAACAAATAAGAGAGGTGGTGGGTGCTAGAACTAACCTTGGGTGTGGGATGTTGCAAAATATCAATTTGTCTACAAACTCTGGATGCATGTGTGCAAAAGACCTGAGGTTAAAAGTTACACAGACAGATTTATCAAATTAATACGACACTCCTTTGGTTTTAGTCAGTTGAATTGGTCAGCACAAGAGAAGAGGGGACTGACTAAACAACCGACCCCAACAATCTGGGTTACAAGGGTTTCTTCTTTAAAATGACACAGGTTCTCAACAGAGAAAAAAGCATGTTTCTTGGTCTGGAAATCACACAATGCACCCCAACCGACCCACCCCCCCCCCCCCCCCCCCCCCCCCCTCCCGCATTGGGCCAGGAAGCACTGCATGACTCCAGCCTGAGGTATGCAAAAAAGACTAGGGCTTTGCTGGACTGTGAAGAACAAGTAAACCGAGAAGGAAGCTGAAGACAGTGCAAGAAGAAAAGGTTAACTTCTCCCTTCTCCACCCACTTTCTCCGACTCCTCAGGGTCCGCACCAATTTTAAAACAACAAGTATCAGGGTGCAAAGAAAATCATTTTTACAGCTTGCCATTCGGGAAAGCTGAAGCTCGCATTTACTAGCCCAGACGTCATTGCAACTAGCCCCAAAAACTTTTTGACTAGCAGAATTGATTTCACAGTTCTTCTGTTATTCAAATTCCTCAAAAAACATTACTTGCTCCTCACGCAAGTTAAAAACAGAATTCACTCGCCCGATAGCAAAATCCACTAGCCCTGGGCTATCGGACACTACTTTCTTTGCACACTGAATATACACTTAAGCCTTGAATTCTCAGTCAGTTTGGGCTGTCACAAAGGGCTGGCGGCTACATAGGTATTTCCCTCAGCTTTCACAAGCATAACCACCCTAGTTCTTTCATTCTTTCAAGGTAATGAACAAAAGAAAAAATAGAACCAAAGGCAGTTCATATTCCCATCAACTAAAATTGCAGATACCCCGCTATCCCTCACAAATAAGCCCTGAATGGAAGATTTGTTTCATCACTTCCCCTCCCCACAGTCCAATCTTTTGCTTTATGACTCCCCTATTGATTGAACTCTGTACCATCCCCAACTCTCTTATGCTTTTAAAATCAAGGATAATATGACTGATGGACATAATAAGCTCTTGCTTCCCTGAATACCATGCCTTCACTGCAGTAGCTATTCCTAGCCTCCCACGTAAATGTTCTTAGGGGTTTATCACAGGTTAGTGGGGCAGGAACATGTAATGAACCCCTAAGAATATCTGCATGGGAGGCTAGCCTGTTTCAGGCTCTGAGATAGTCAGGTCAGCAAAATTGAAAAAGGGCAAACACGAAAATAAAACAGAAGGAAACTGGGGTGGGGAAGGGCGGCAGAGCCTGTAAGCATTTGTTTACAAGACTTGTTCTAGTATACCAGCTCCTGGTATACCTTCTGTTTGTTCAGAATTGACAGGTTATATCAACACTTCTCAAGAAGGGTCATTACTGTCACTCAGAAAGATGGCATCCACAAGCATGAGTTAGAGGAATTGGCTTGATAACTTCTGTCTAATGGGCAAGTGTCTGTGAGATTATATTATGGTACAGTGGCCACCTTACCATGCCAAAGCTCCACCCCAGTCATGACTCAGCAAAGTGCAAGATTTGTAATCAAGTGCCTCAATCTATAAATAAATTAATAAATTGTATTAATATCTTTTCTGAGCTCACATTATCAATCATATACATTACTGGTATTGATATAAAAAAAAATAAAAATTTTATTTTCCCAGCTGCAAGGAAACTCTGATGACCTCCTTTGCAACACAGTATAATAAAATATTATAGCCCTTATTTCTGGATTGGACAACATGTACTTAAAGCTGTCCAGACATTGACGAAAAAAATTTAATTCTTATTTATTTAATTTTTGCTTTGTTTTGTTTTGTGTTTTTTTGAATTTGTGATCTTTTTACAAAAATCTTCTAGACTATGATGTTTAATTTAAAAGTGTCCTTTGAATCTACAAAATATTTTATAACAAAGTTTACAAGGTGCATACTCAATCTGCTGTTTCAGCAATACATGTAAGTGCACTTACAATTTCTTTAATGTCATTAATCAATAATGACGTCTTGTAGTGTTCTCGCCCTTTAGGACTGTCACTTTCACCATAGCCCCTTAAATACAAAATACTGCTGTAAGATTTAGCTTTTTAAAAATTCTCTAATTTTGTTTTTCATGAAATCAAAATAAACTGCTGAGAATGGGATAGGAGATGGGCATATTCAACAGTTTTGAATTAAATTACCATGTGACTGAGCTATAATTTCTGTCAGTCTCAAGGATACCAAAAATAAGTTAGCTAACTGGACAAAAATCCCACATTTTGTTGTGTAACTTATTATTACTCAGATATGTTTTACAGTTGTAGCAGCTGTGCATAATACAGTTTGGCTACTTGCAATTTGTATTTTACAAATCCTTCTTAACCCATTCGCCCCTGAACCGCCCATAACCGCCCGTGCGGATCCAGGTCCTTTCTACCCTTTGTGACGTCATCAGTTTTAACGGTCAAGGACAACTTTCTTCACTAACTTGTGCAGGGTGAAGAGATCTTTCAAACCATACCAGAATGAGCACAATTCAGTCAAGGACACCGGAGGAAGAAGCAAAAAACCACGTGACAAGGACCTGAAAATCTCCATGAAAATCTTGTTCCATTACCCACCTACCTTTCCTTTCACCTAATCCTAAGATCCTAAAAGCTTTCCTAAAAACTCTTCCCACCAAAATGAAGCCTACTAAATGCCCAGCAAGAGACCAAAAAAATGAGGCAAGAAAAGCGAAAAAAGAAGGGAGGAGAGAAAGCGAAAAGTAAAAGTCAAGACTGCTGTGTCACTTTTAAACCCAAAAACTATGTCGAAATTTTGCTTTCTGCGCATGCCCGAGCTTCGTAAGCTGATATTTTGCATCTGGATCAAAAGGCCACCAAGTGTACAACCTGTAAACCGGTTTGTGGTAAGTTTTAGCTCTTTATAGCACGACAGTGACCAGAAAACCACTCGACTAGCTTCAAAACGCGTTTTTCGGCAAAATCTCCAGGAGCGAATGGGTTAAACTTTTTACAGTACCTCAAATCCAAGGCAACCATTCTGAAATTATCACTAACAGCTTTCAGCTGATATCGCCAGGAATACCAAAACTGCAAAGTGATTTTAAAACAGGGTCATTGGTTTTCAATGCATAATATTTTCTAGCTACTTCTTTGTATTAATAATAATAATAATAATAATAATAATAAAATAATAATAATAATAACAATAATAATGGTTTATTAACAGTATTTCCATGAAAAATGGCTCTACATGTGCTAATAAATTACAAAATATACTTACAAGTAGACTGATGGAACTGAATTAAATCTTGAACATTTATTGCTACTGTATTTACCCGTGTATAATGCGCGCCCGTGTATAATACGCACCCTCATTTTTGACCACGTTATTCTAAAAAAAAAAAGATTTCAAGATAAAAACCAAGAATTAAAACTTCCTTGTTTCCATTTAATTAACAAGAGCTGGGAGTTCATTAATGACATGTTTACATGTTTACATGTTTACTTACTTACTTACTTAAACTACAAATATCGCATGCACCGAGCACCTATTTACACGCCTTTCTATTTAATAAAAGTCAAACGTTTTACAAATCTTGTAACTTGAAGTCCGTATTACCTAGTATACTTAAATTCATCAAAGTTACTCAAAGTTTCATGTCTCTTGCGAAGCAATCATCAGGCAACTTTTATTTGCATGTTTACCCTTGTTAGCCCTTACTAACAGATGGTCTTCTGTGTCTAAAGCAGTACAAATTATAATTACTGTCTCCAGAAGAAAATAATGATTTATTTTGTCATGTCCAGTCTTTTATATCTGAATTGAAGATATTTTAAAATACCTAAATATGTAAATTCCATTTGTTAGCATTCCTTAAATATCTTCTTTGTTTTGCTGCTGCTTTTGACTAATTACTATTTCTATTCTAATTTTTTTCTTATGATATTTTGGAGTAAGTCCTCTCAATGCGTTTTTTGTTTCTCTTAGGGTATGGTAAACTTCATCAATAAAATTTAATGATCACATAACAAACCCTTGTACTTCTAGATCCAGATGGCAGGATGATTTAAACTTTTTCATGGCTTTGGTTTACAAACACATCTGCTGCAATGATAGTAAAAATAATAAAACAGTAGCAAAGTGTGTACGTTACCTCAGGGAACCCATGTATACAGTCGACCCTTGTAAAAATTTATTAGCGATCGCGCCGCGATCGCGCCGCGATGACCGCGATCGCGGAGCGATGGCAGCGATCGCGGCGCGATTGTGCATATCGCGGCGCGATTTAGATTAATCGCGCCCGCGATAGCGACGCGGTGATCGCGATCGCGGCGAGGTTATAGCGATCGCGGCGCGGTGATCGCGATCGCGATGCGATGATCGCGATCGCGACGCGGTGATCGCGATCGCGACGCGGTGATCGCGATCGCGGCGCGATGATTTTGATCGCGGCGCGATGATTTTGATCGCGGCGCGATATCAGCGATCGCGATGCAATTGAAGTAAATCGCGCTTGCAATAGCGACGCGATGATCGCGATCGCGGCGAAGTTATAGCGATCTCAACGCGATGATCTCTATTGCGGGAAGATGATCGCGATCGCGGCGCAATTTTGAAAAATCGTATCTGCGATCCCAAGGTCAGGATTGCGATGCTGGCGATGAAATCGCGATCGCGGCGAAGTTTTAACGATCTCAGAACGATGATCGTGATCGCAGGAAGAAGATTACGATCGCGGCGCGATTCAGAAAAATATTATCCGCGATATCAGAGTCAGGATTGCGATCCTGGCGATGAAATCGCGATCGCAGCGGTATTGTACTTATCGCGGCGTGGTGAACGTGATCGCGGGGAAGATAGAGCGATCGCGGCGAAGTTATAGCGATCTCAACGTGATGATCGTGATCGCGGGAAGATGATCGCGATCGCGGCGCAATTTTGAAAAGTCGTATCTGCGATCCCAAGGTTAGGATTGCGATGCTGGCGATGAAATTGCGATCGCGGCGGAGTTATAACGATCTCAGCCCGATGATCGTGATCGCAGGAAGAAGATTACGATCGCGGCGCGATTCAGAAAAAATATTATCCGCGATCTCAGGGTCAGGATGGTGAAGATAGAGCGATCGTGGCGAAGTTATAGCGATCTCAGCGGAATGATCGTGATCGTAGGGAGATGATTGCGATCGCGAAGACAGACAGTTTTTATTTTAGCTCGATGATATTAAACGCTAAGCAGCTGATGGGGTCGTGCAATTTTGAAAAATAGTATCCGCGATGGCAGCGACATTGTACTTATCGCGGCTTGATTTAGTAAAGTCAAATCCGTGATTTATATGTCAGGACTACGATCCCGGTTTGGTAATCGCGATCGCAGGGGCATTGTACTTACTGCGAAGCGGTGATTGTGATCGCGGTGCGATTTAGTTAAGTTGTAATCGGCGATCGTCGAGTGCCATATTGCTCGCGATCGTGGTGCAGTAATCGCGATCGCCAGGTGGTGATCACGATCAATTCTAATTAAGTTCGCGTCCGCAATCTCAGTGCCATTTACATCGCGAAGGAGATAACCGAGGATCACAGTTATCGTCGCGATTTCTGTTATAAGTTAGTCGTATGGTTATTATTCTGTTTGAGCTCTCACGTCTTTCACGCCCCTTTTAGTCTGGTTACTAGCTCGTCTTGTTATTCCTTATCGTTCGTGACTCGTTAGTTGTTTTTTTTATAACTGGCTATATTTAATTTGGTGTTATCAGGGACCGCCTTTCCCGTTCGTTATGGGCCGTAATTCGCACTGCATTTGCCTTTGCACCCTTTTTTTCCACACGTTAGTTGATTCACACAGTGCATTGACTCTAAGGTTTCATAATGAAAGCACTTAATATTTTCGTTATTGCTTTAAAAAACTAATCGAGGCCAGTATGCATCCTTTGGCTTACTAACAGGCTTTCTAACTTTCCAGATGGCTTTCAAACTGCCGGATATTTAGCCTGTGCGAAAACGTACTCGTGAGTCTCGAATGTTTCTAAGTGTCGAAACGGCGTCGACTCTCAGGCTCTATGCCCAAGAAACCACAAACGCTCTACTGCTAAGCCATTCCTGTTTTCCTAATCCCTTGGTAATTCTAAACGAAGATATAATACTTTCAAACGATTATATTTAGAAAAAAGATTTTGAAGAAAATCAAAAAAAAACATTCTGACTGCCGTGCAGCTTAGACCCTTCCCGGCTGCCGGGCATATTATTTTATTTTTATATTCCATTATGTTGTTCTTCAAAACTTGCGATTGTGAAAATTATTAGGGCAGGCAAAATAGTAATAATATTATAATAAAACACTGGAAAGTTAAGTAACTAAAAGACTACAGAAATATATCAATATCGGGACGTCGAACATTCGGAAAAACTATAAGTTTATAATAACAGTCATTTTCAGTTTGTTAGAACTTTATCGGTTTCTAGAGAAGGCACGGTTTTCCTTGTGTTTTTGACCAGAGTTACATTAGCAAAAAGCTAGGAAACCTTTTCTCGCTCACCTCTAATTGAGTCATTTTAAGCCCAAGGATGAATTTCTGTTACGCTCCAGGCCTTAAGCTGCTGTATATAAGGATGTAATCAACATGATTTTTACTTAATGGTCCTTAATAACAGAAATGAATCCTGCATGTACGTGACGGTTTAATGCAGAGTATTGGGGTGCGATCCATTCAACCAAAATTCCAACCTGTCCGACCGGGAAAATTGGTCCACCTAAAAAGGTGGACCCGTTTTTTCGAAACTTTTCCGGTTGGACCGAACCGATCCATTGAGTTTTGGACCGAAATATTCCGGAAATTTTGGTTGAATGGATCGCGCCCTTGGGGACTGGATTCCAAGATCCGATTTCCCGCCACTGCGACGCGGGTGGCCAAGATTCAAGGCTGACGCGTACCTTGAAAAAGAAAATTGCTCTCAATTTCACTTGTCATGCAATTGGCAATGGCCGTTTATTGCTGTTTAAACATTGGAAAATTTTTCTTCATGATTCTTTTGACATGTTGAAAGTTCAAACAAAGAAACATACTTAAAAAGGTAAGTCTACTCACTTCTTATTATCACTAAGTTTAATTTTAAACCTAATTAAGGTTAAGCTTGATATTCATTCGGTGTTGTCGATTTTATCCTTTCCGGCACTTTTCGTAGTTTATAACACAATTAAGGTTAGCCTTTTTATTAGGCTTCTCAAACAAACAAAAGCTAAAAAAAATTCGAGCTACCTTTTAATAGTTCGAGAAAGCAAAACTTCTGATTTTGGGGCCTTCGTTTTTAGCTCATTTTTTATATCCTTCGAGGGGTGTAAGTCTTAAGCTACTTGAGCTGGACAACTCAGTGATTTGTCTTAATTTGAATATTTCAATACTCTAATTTCGGGAATAACTCTCTTGGTTAACTGGTTTTAATTTCTAAACAGGAAAACCGCTCTGGACGTACTGTGGGGCATAAACATGGCAATATACCAAGAGCCATGATGGCCTCTTGAATATTCTGCAGCAACAATTAATCTGGCAAAGACAACAGTTGTGAGTACTCAGTTTGTACATTATGTAAATTTCAAAGTTAACGTTTAGGCTGAAGACAAAACATGTGGGACGTCACATTAAATTGGCTTAATAAAGAAGTATGGAGAATTTCGGTGAGAATATTTAAGCACGGTAAATGAACATGAAACATATCATTAGCGTGAGGAAAAAAGAAAAAATATTTTTATCCCTAATAGGATGAACCTATCTGAAGACATGGACAAGTGGATCAAAAGAAAAGAAGTCAATGCATATAGGCGGTTTCATTATCTCAATACTTCAGGATATAAAACGTTTTACTCTGCTCACACTTAGCTAAAAATAAAAAAACACGATTCACTGAACTCTCACATAAGACCTTTCTTTTGAAAATTCATTCCCTATTTAGATCCGTTTAAGTTGAAAATTTAGCTTTATCTTGACATGATTTATACTACCCTGCTTGCAGACTGAGTAGCTTCGATCTTTCCTAGATAAGTTCGGATAAGTTCCGGCCCGTTTTAATTTGTGATGTACGTAATTTTCGGGAAGAAAATAAGGTTAAACTACAAACGAAACTTTCCGATTTTTATTGATCTGTTTGCCTTCTGAAGCTCGATTGTCGTAGGTGAATTTTGTTCTGTTATTTTTGCTTTTTATGGCGCCTTAAATTACTTGTATGCATTTTTTTAGTTCAGGTATGCAATTAAGTGTTAAGAAAGCTAATTTTTGGTGTACACGGCGTACAAGAAATGTTCTTTCGATTTGCAAAAAAAAAAAAAATTCCGTCGACTGGTTGAATTTTAAAACCAAAGTTTAGATAATATTCCAAAATAAATTTTGCGTACTATGTCCTTGGTCCGGCCAAACTAGCCAAATAGTGATTGAAAAGGGAAAGCCTGTTTGAAAATTTCCCAGTAACACTGCACTTTATTTATTAAGCAGTGGTATAGAAGGCCATAAAATGAAACTTATATTTCATTTGGGAGCTGTAGCATTTAGCAAAGTCAAAAACTTGGCAAGCAATGGCCTAACAAGGAAAACATTACTCTGCACGTCCTGCACGTCCTTTTCGGTCGCGGCATGACTTACATGGGTGGGGCATTATGACTTTTGTTTTCACGCTTTTCGGTCGCAAAACAAAAGAAACTTACCCCACTGACTTAAACAGGGTCTTACAACATTTTGGTGATGGGAGGTGTTTCTTGAGGACGTAAACAAGCGACGACAAATATTTTTTCCCTCTAAACTTTGATTGAATTCATTTAAAATGGTGGCGAATTGACCTTTTCACGGTTTAGTTTCTTCGAGAGACCAAACGTTAGCTCTTTACACAGAAATCTCAGTTTGGTTTCGAATTTTAAGTGAGCAGCCTATAAAAATTATACAGGAATTTAGATCAGATGGTGCTTGGAAGGTTTCTTTTAACGCACTTTTGATGTCGGCTTCCAATTAAAGTAGCCAAAGTGGCCGGAATCACTGGCCGGACCAGGAGCTTCTCAAACGGAGCGGTCATTTTCTATGATGCACGATTTTCGGCAAAGCTCAGAAGCTCTCCGTTTGTCACAAGTTAGTAAAATGTTACTGCAACTTTCAGGACAAATTTCAGCTCACTACTCTTCTTCTGAGATAAGAAATACTCATTTATGTCTTTTTCGTTCGGACCGTAATCGCAACGAGAAATTCGGCCGAAAACCATCTGCGATCAATGACAGCGATCGCGGTGCGATTGCTCCAATCGCGCCGCGAACTTCGGTCAAAAACGCTAAGCGATCGAGAACAGCGATCGCTGAGCGATCACTGCCATCTCGCCGCGAAATTCGGCCAAAAACGCTAAGCGATTAATGACAGCGATCGCGGCGCGATCGCTCTCATCGCGCCGCGAAATCCGGCCAAAAACGCTGAGCGATTGATGACAGCGATCGCTCAGCGATCGCTCTCATCGCGCCGCGAAATCCGGCCAAAAACGCTAAGCGATCGACGACAGCGATCGCTCAGCGATCGCTCTCATCGCGCCGCGAAATCCGGCCAAAAACGCTAAGCGATCGACGACAGCGATCGCTCAGCGATCGCTCTCATCGCGCCGCGAAATCCGGCCAAAAACGCTAAGCGATCGACGACAGCGATCGCTCAGCGATCGCTCTCATCGCGCCGCGAAATCCGGCCAAAAACGCTAAGCGATTGATGACAGCGATCGCGCCGCGATCGCTCCCATCGCTCCGCGAATAACGCAGCGATCGCGCCGCGAAATCCGGCCAAAAACGCTACGCGATTTTGACAGCGATCGCGCCGCGATCGCGGCGCGATCGCTAATAAATTTTTACAAGGGAGCATAAGTGGTTTGCCTGTGTCTCCTTTAGCAACATAATGGATCCTGATATTTGATGCTGTTCTCAGGAAATGGTGTTCACCAAGCTCAGGGTCAAGAAGGCATGCAGGAGCTGTAGAGAAATGAAAACATCAACTCTTTAACAGTCAAGCCAGGTCAAGCATATAACCCCCATGATTTCATTAATGAATAATTATATAATAATAATAATAAACTCTATTTAAGTGTCAGGTACTTTAGCTATAAAGCTTTGAGGAACCTATGAAATAAAAAGATATATATGTACAGCAATAAAATCAAATATTTACAGTTGAAAAGAAAAAATAAATAAATAAATAATTCATATATGGAAAGCAAGAATATGCAAAGCAGAATCCTTTAGCAGCTGTTAAACTTCAGATTCATTGATAAGGCATAGCCTATATGACAGGCATTTGTGGTCTCAAAAACAGTCAGTAAAACTCATCTAGCTGACAGGTCTTTTCCTTTATATAATTATGGTTCTTTAAATAATAGAAGAAAGCAAATAAACTGAGATTGATGCCTTCAGTTTCTAATTCCGTGGGATGCCTGTGGCACTCCCACAGTAAAAATCCGGTTTGGTTGTACCCAAAATTGCAAAGCCAGCGAACAGGATTGCGTAAAATTTTTATCAATTATTTCTTCTTCCAAGTCGACCAATGGGATTGCACAAAACCTTTATCAATTTTTGATCAACTTGCTTCCTCTGAAGAACGTTTCAGAATGTTTCATTGTACGAACAAATTGCAAAGCCAGCCAAAAGGATTGTCTAAAATATTTATCGATTATCTCTTCTTCCAAGCCGACCAATCAGATTGTACAAAATCTGTATCGATTTTTAATTGATTTGCTTCCTCTGAAGAACGTTGAAATCAGAACGTTCCTTGCCAGATTTGTCGCCCTTGAGTTTTCCCACTCATGGTTTAGGATGGCTTGTTAACCAGCGAAATCCTTCAGGATACTGGCAAGTCACGAAAGGCGACCTAAGCCAAATTATTTCTTCCCCTCATGATTCTTTTGTTGTTTAGGTCTATCTTTTTCATAAGGTTTTAGTAGCGTCTTGTTGCAGGCTGTGATTTCCAATAGATTTTTCTATTCGGAGTTCGCCAGTTTTTGCCGAGCACAGCTAGAGTTCAGTTTTTTTCTATTCTTATCGAAAACACCTTGACAATGGGAGGTTACATCGCATAAATTTCAACTTGTACTCTCGACGATTGGCGGTGAAATCGCACAAATATTGTCCTCGTCAATCGACGACTCGCTTTCGGCATGGATTGGTCTTCTGGATGGGACACGGATCAGGACCTTAGTAAACTTATTATACCAGTTGGAATCAGGGATAATCATTGGAACTATGTTAACTTTGAGACCTTGGAAACACATTGCAATTAATTTTTAACCATATCAAGAGCATCTTGGAATATTTAACTTTCATCTTGGATTAAAACATTGGAACTTTATTGAACTTTGTAACCCTGGGTTCGACCCTGGATAAAGCAAGCGGATGTTTTGTTTTGTTTTGTTCCATTAACCTATACTTGACGTATCTTTATACATATAGTTCATGTTCAGGTTAATCAGAGAGCATTATGCGCATGTTCTCCATTACTTGTTTCCGTTAACATTCCAATTTAAGTTACACGGGTAAACCTTGTTTTGATGCAAAATAGCCTTTTTTTCTTATCCAAATCGTGCTACGAAAATAATTACATAGCTATAGATCAAAACAAGATCAACTCCATCCTTGCGACCACTGACAACTATAAATTTAGCTTGCGTAGCAGGTGTCGAAAGAGGTAGGGGATAGGGAGAAAGCAAAAAGGGGATGTGGATTGGGGAGAAATAGTAGCCTGCCACGCAGGCTACTATAAATTCAGTCATAAGCACATTAAACCAACCCATACTGGTAACCTACTCATCGATGCTCATAACATGACACATCTTTCCGGTTTCCCTAATTTTTCCAAATTCAGATAGAATGCCATTATGCTTCCATAGACCAAAGCATCCCACGGAAAAGACTATAGGCATCTTGTTCTAACAATGAATTCTGTACAGAAATCTCATTACAATTCACTAACAACATATTTTTAAATGATTACTGAAATATCGGCCGTTATGTTAATTTCAACCAATCGGATTAAGTATCGGCCGTAATTGACATGTTTTGAAAACTGACCTATTAGGATTTTAACAATTGTCTGGTGGATGTTTATAACATGAAAATAACGGCCTCCTTGCAGGCCTCTCCCACCCTCACTCCCCATTCCCCCCCCCTTCACATTTCTCTCCTGCCTAGAATCCCTTTTCCCTTCAAACGCCTGCCATGCAGTAGTGTGGTATTTCAACACTGCATTGACCAGGCCTGTCTTAAAGTGGAGAGTTTATGGTAATGCGCATGTGTGTCAAGACAGCTTCCAGAATAAAACATACAGGCCAACACTAAATACAAAGAAGGTATCAACCGCAAATCCAAGGAATCCAGGAATCTGCCTTTAAATTCGCTCATCCATAGCTCTACGTAAGCAAGTGAAGTCTGCTATTTCTAAAGTACTCAAGAGTGTTGTTTTGTTTTTGGAATCAATTTTGTGAATGGAGTCTCAGAAGCGACGTCACAAGCACCCGGTAACAGGACGTTCTCAAGAGTCTTTGGAGATAGAGAAGCTTAGCTGATCTATCTGTTCATTTGCTGATAAGCAATTGAAATTTAAGCTCAATTTAGGATAATCTTTATACTCATACGCTGTGTGTTTTTGTCATCGGTCAGGTGCTATTTGCAGGTATTTCTAGGTTTATATAGGGCAAACAGAGAGAAAAGGCAGGAAAAGGCAAGGAAAAGGCACGATAATAATTTTTAATTAATTATTCTTTAGGTCTGTTTACAAATTTTGTTTGCCAATTGGTGACTGCTTTGTTAGCGTGAGTATGTAAAAGACCTCATAAAAATACACGTAGGTAAATGTTTGTTTCAGAGCAGGACAGGGCTGTAAATCTTATTCTTACTGGCTGCAAAACATATCTGAGGAATAGCGAAGAATATGAATTATGGGGACAAATAAAATCGAACCAAATGTCCAGAAATACTCCTCCGTAAATTTCCCTGCGTGCATCCAACTCGCTTCCGATTGGTTTTTAAAAAAACAATCAGGTACTGTCAGACTCACACATGCACAATACCGTGAACCTGTCCCTTTAAAAAGTTCAAATGCCCCAGAGGTTGCCCTGGCGGGGGTGGGGGTTGGGGTGTTGGATGGTGAAGTTTCAAATTGATTGGCGCGTTATCCTGCAATAGCAGAAGTCACTGTTCAAATACAGGGAATAACATTTCACGGTTACGCATAGTAAAAAAGTATTTCACTTGTGTTTACTTGTTCGATTTGTTTATTCACACGGCGTCCTTCATAGCAGTTCTTTGGACAGTCAATGAATCGAAAACAAAGAATGGTATTAAAAATATAAAATAACCACAAACTAATCATCACAGAGAAAAATAATGACATGGGTTTTTTATGGTCATTACGAAAACCAGTTTGTAGTCGCCCAAAATGAGCTTGTATACATAAGCTTAAGCTTAGCTAACAGTTCGCTTTCTTCTCCACGTGCCGCTTTAAAAATAATGTGCTCTGGATGGAGAAGCAATTTTGCCAGCTTTCTCATTAATTGATGTAAAGCTAATGTTTCGAAGAGTCCCTGCTGTAGTGAGCACTATCAAACGCAAAAAGATGACCGAATTAACTAAAGAAACAAAGCACAACAGACAAGATGAATCGACCTGGCCGAGTTTTCACCGGTGCATTACCGATCGTTTATACTTACGTTTTTCTCGTCGCTTTCCTCTTCTCGGTATTTCAAGGTTCCTAATAGCAGTCAACAACAGAAAAAAACATACCATAAAGCCATAAAACAAAGCCAAACTGTATACGAACAGAGCCCTAATCAACTGTTTCGCCATGATGTACCAACCGCGACCCACCAAGGTACACCGAAATCAGGACTAAGGTCACCCAAGGTCACTCATTTTCAGGCGCTTGTTAGCAGGGGAGGGGCGGGGAAAGACAAGGGGCGAACAGACCGAATACTGGAGCCTGATACCCTGCCGAATATCTCTTGTCTGATGTGTTTTGAAACTTTCAACTTTTGTTCAGCTAATAAATTGATGTTTAAAGCGGCGAGGGTGCAAAAGCGTTTGGGCGTTGGTGTGTGGGGACATATTCATCCTGGATGGCAAAAAGCCTGGAGGTACGTAAAATTTTTCACTTTTGCGTTTTTATCCCGATAGAGGTCTTTAAGAGTGATTTTCTGTAAAATTCGAACCTCGGCCTGACACGGTACCTCATCGATTTGGCTGATTTTTGGCATGTAGTCTTAGAATGGTGTCCTAAATACTGAATGCATATTCTAAGGTTCGAATTCTCGTTGGTTTCAAAGATACAGGAATGACAGTTTTGACGAGGCCTCGAGCGGCCGCCATGTTGGTGAACTGAAGGAGATTTACAGTAATTAATTCTAGCCTTATCATTAAAATAACTTAATCGTGACTCATACAGTTGCAAAGAACTATCCTTCCTCCTTTCATTTACCTACTCTTATCTGAAAATGGTTAAGCCTGAGCTACGAACGGCTATAACTTCTCACAGCACTTTTTCGGTACTTAAACGGTACACAAATTTGGTAGAAATTGGAAGGCCAATATCACCCATGCCACATCGATTTAGACTAAGCCATTTTAACTAAACATAGTTTGTTTATAGCTAAGTTAGATTGTTGAATAAAATAATTGGGCAAATGCAACGGAACAGAAATATGATTGCATGAATGCGCAGTGGTTCAGCCACTTCGCCGCTAAAACTTCAAAACAAAATTCGGTGAATATTTGAAAAGAAAATTCTTTAAAATTGATCGTGCCTCTTAAACCCTATCTATCGCTTAAAAACCCTCCCTTGTAATGTAAACAGATGATCTTTTGATTCTGATCTTGCGAAGAGCTTGAAATATGCGCTAAAATGAAAATTATATATTTTGTTACACACGGTACTAGCTCAAGTTCGCTCTTCGATTTCCCAGACCAATCGGGAGCCGCTCGTGTACTGCACAGTTACAATTTTCTCTGTAGTATTTCGCTGTATACAGCTACAAATTCCTATTTTCTTAGGCGAAGATAACGCAAACGTTGTCAATTTTATTCAAAAGGCTAGAAAAACCAACCGTGCACTGTAGCTTTATGCAAATTGTATGGTATTCGATAATTACACGTGTAAACAGGAATCTACCTTTGCTAATGTACACTGTTTGGCAGATCTTTCCAGCGTAAGATATAAAACTAGTACATGAAATGAAATTAAAGAACTCATCAAGTCAAATTACCTGATCGTACCGTCATTACTGAATAATAAGTCCGCAAAATATGACATGGAATGATCGGTGGCAGACGAAGCTATTCTTAGGAGGACAAGGAACTGCACGCTGGAACGGAACTGAAATGAACAACCTCAATCAAGTTCAGTCTTCTTGACGCTATTAAACGTTTCACCCGAATTTGAACAGGAAGTTGTTTTCTATTTCCTTTCTCATTCTTGCACGTATTCTGCAGTTCGCCCACTATTTTTTCGTAATTTTTAATTTTCTAGCTAACTGGAACTGTTAAGAACTACCAACCCCCCTCCCCCCTCCCCCTCTATCTTTGAGTGAACTTTCATTCGGTCTGATTCACAATAATTTTCGAACGGTGACAAAGTGATATTTGAAATGACATTTTATTTAGTATTTTTAAAAGCTCCTTTTTTTCCCGATAGCCAGGAATGTTTTGAACGTAAAGGCTCAAGTGGCGGTGTTTTTCACGACTCTGCTTGTAGACTGACCTCACCACCAGTACCACGGACATAAAATCTGATCGGAGAGGGTCATACAGTAACTGATGGGTCTCTGAAAAGCGAAATGCAGTCACTTGGGGCGAGTAGGCTATATAGATGATGAACTCATTGTTTATAACCCCATAACCGTATCCCAAAAGTCGAACCAGCCCGGGGCGAGCAAACACAATTTTGGAGCCACTGGCCACGCCCTTATGTTTAGCGGGAAATTGGTTGATTAGTCAAATCTCCTTAACTCCACGACCATGCACCTTTCCAAATATAGCCCTTCTTATCATCATATAGTTAGGGCCTCCCGTAAGCATTTGCAACTATTTTGATTTGTAGAAGACTGTTTAACAGTTTTCATTACTTTAATGTCTCGTAAACAACACGAGGTACATGTTCTGATCTCTCCCCCCACCCTTCCCCCATCCATAACAAAAAATTTTCAGACCAACACTGAATTGCATGAAGGTATGTACAAAAATATGACCATCTCGAGGCAAGGTTCGTCACTGTAACTTACCACATAAAAGCCTTTTCGTTGTTTGCCATCGACTGATTCTGTTCTGAATACTAAGGTCCCATAAACAACGCCACGTTTAGAAAGAGCCCGCCCTTTTCAATCCAAGAAAACCCAAGTAGCGATTTCACCAACGGACATAAGCCGTAAGAAAAGGACCGCGTCAAATAGTTCATGAAATCACAAACGCCTCATGATACCTTTAATTCACTCTTTCTTCGATAAACTAATTTTTAATTTTTTAAGCATAAATGACATCAGAATGCGCGATTATGAGCATTGTAGCTTATGAAAAGAAAATTTAACACCTGATGCACATGAAAGCGTCTAAGGGCCTGTTTACATGGAGTGGGGGACCCCGGTCTGGTGGGGTTGGTTTCTTTTGTTTTCACGCTCTGGGGGACACAAAACAAAAGAAACTTACCCCACTAGACCGGGGTCCCCCACTCCATGTAAACAGGATCTAAGAAGGGGACTAGGGAGAATTAGGAACATTGTGCTTACCGCTGGAAAAATATTGGCTAGTTCTTTGAATAGACTCAATTAAAGCCGTTTTTGTTCAGTAAGGAGCTGTTAGATGGGGGGAAAGCTACATAAAGTAGATCGCATCAGAATACGGCATAGGACTAGGCTCTCAAAATCGATAAGCTGAATGCAAGACCAATTATTATGTAAAACAGAGAAAAATTCCTTGAGGGAAAAAAATTATGGCTAGGGAAAAGACCCGAAGGTGGAAAGTTAGGATGGTAGCTTCTTTTCAGGTAATCGATCATTTACGTTAACTTCCGCTATCCGACGGACATATCGGAAAGACTGAATGGATGAGAGTATAACACATTCAAGAAGAAACAAATTTGTGATTTTTCACAACTCAATAAAATAACTTAAATTGTGTACTACTCGGTTATACAAGATTTTTGTTTTCAATTTCAGATTTTTACGATGGGGCATTAGCCCCCGTACTCACTAGACACTACTTTACAATCATCGTGTTAAAATCAGTGAAATACTCCAAAACAATTTGGATTCCTACCCTTATACCTTTATTAAAAATTAAAGTTGGGAAGTTTGTTGTTTTCTAAAAGTAGTTTGAACAGCCGAACGACATTTTTTACACGGAGTGGGAAGGCAAAGCTTCACTTATCTCTTCTAAGGTAGAAAGTGTTAGCAAAACGTGAGAGTCGTCCTTTTTATGAGGGTAAAGTGTCTAACCTAATTTTCTCACCGATTGCAAGTGCCATTTCATCCACGCATAACCTCACCTAGTTAACAGAATTAGCAAATGTAGTGGGGAAACGTTGCGAGAGAACTGAGTAAGATGTTAGGGTAAGTTTTGGAAATTTTCCGCACACCTGGAAAGTCCTGGCTACGCTCCTGATAGAGACTTTTGCTGGAGAGAAATTGAAACATGTTCGCTAATATAGTGACGACCAGAAAGGACAAGCCATAGGATAGTTCCAGAAAACCACCCATTACAATAGATCACGAAGTTGTCGCGGCGGAGGATGAACTTGAAGGCATCTGATGAATTGCAATTTTTCAAGGGAGCCCAGACAAGATTATGTACGATGGGCACAGCTTGTGCTCATCTGGAAAATTTAGAGAAACTCAAGGCAAATCGCTGGACAACACATGCTAGAGCTGAACTAAAAATCTTTTGCGCCTTTGAACTCTGTCCCTAAGGGTAAAGGAGAAAGTTTCCCTTTATCAATGCATTAACCGAGTTGATTATGAATGTCTCCTTATGTTGGACGTCTTACTAACAAGCATATTACCACTACGTGCCGTCAGAGGCGTTTTTCATTTGACGAGCAGAGAAAATTAGGTTTTGACTGTTTGAAATTCTGGATGCCAGAGTGAAGACGCCTTTTGTATGATGACGTCATCGTCCTACAGTGAAAAGCGTTCGTTTTTTACCACTGATATTACGTCAATCGGCACACTTATGTTGTCGAAAGGTCCGTGAGCATGGTAAATGATTTTACCTTAAACTGCAGACACATATTCAATCACTCCTTATTGTTCGCGATATCGGATAAACACTCTGGTCTCTAACTGAATTTTCTTTGCTGTTTACTTTATTTTGAATTAGGACTGTCTTGAGTTGTCCATGCATTGTCTAGCGATTTTAAGCTTTTTCAAGGAAACAAAAATCTGGAATTGTCCCTAGGGTGAGGCATTTGCGCACAGTTTTAAAGCCCTTCGGTGGGGTGACTGTGGTTTTTGCTGCCCCGGGCTCATCCCTCATTCTTCTTAACCCCTTCCAAACCAATTTTTCTGTTTATCAAGAATCTCCTCAAAACGGGCTTCGTGATTGAGACAAAACACCTGAAAATTGTACACGGAACCGTTGTTAACGGTGTACAAGGTAGAATGAGTCTATTCATTACTTTGCCAACGCCCAATTTTTAAAACCGGAAGTAATCATGTTTATTTCAAGGGCTCATGTCTCATGAGTTTTGAGTAAATCTTCAAACGCTGTAAACACATGTAGCTGGAACTATCATCGCATCGATCCTTGCTCACTAATAATGATAACTTATATCAACTTCCATTATTTATTGCCTGGCTAAGATTTTCACGGATTCTTCAGTTCAGTTGTTTGAAACCAGGCGGTTTCACGTGAGTTGTAACGCCAGGCAAGGAACGTGACGATCCGCGATATGCGTGGGAAAATATTACTTTTTTTCGATCAAGGTGGAAACTGGCAACTTTGTCGTCGAGTAAGGTAATACATCTCAATTTTCATTACTATGGTTAATTTTAAAAGCTCTGGTTTCGGTAAAGGAACTAGAGGAAAATCAGGAAAATTCCAGTTCGACTGTGATGGTTGAATTTTGTTTACGCGTCATAGCGTAAACATAACAAATTCATTTTCCTTTTCCTTATACAATCTGCCTTTTTTTATACTGTTTTTCGCAGCAGAGTTATCGATTATATTACAGAGGCTAATTTTATTACACAGATCACTCAGATTTAATGACAGAAACTCTATTATCGATTGTAATTTTGGCAGCACCTGGCGAGTATTCGGTGTACAGATTATTGACAAAGTCGCTAGAACAGTCTTCCATTCATTACTTTTGTTTCTGCTCCGTTAAATTTGCCCAATTTTTTTATTAATGAACTCGATTTAACTACAAACAGTGAGTATTCAGGCAGATTGGCAAGCTTCAATGCGATGTGGCAAAAGAGATATACGCCTTTAAAATTCTGTTAATTTTGCTGGTGTAAAAAATTCAAAAAGTATACCCACCAAAAGTTCAATCGATCGTTTCGAAAACGTTATCAATTTCGAAGTAGTTTCTAAAAATACAATAAAGAGGGATTGTTCTTTCAATCTGTATTGGCAAAGGAAGATTAGCTTTGAAGACAGGGTTGTAGTCGAAGGCCCAAAAGCAGCTTCTATTAACCAATATGGCGCCGGTCCGAGGCACCCAAAAACCGGCCATGTCGATAATTTCCGAAGTAGGAGGAATTAGAACCTAAAGTTACCTATTCCTTATTAAAGACCTCAAATCAAGTCTACATGCCAATTTTTAGCCAATTCGGTGAGATAGTGTGGCAGCGCCTTTTTAATATAGCTCGAATCTTACAGACAACTGCTCTTAAGAACTAAGAAGATTGCCCCAATTATCTTGCACTCAAAGACCATTCAATTCTAACAAACTAAAAATGCCTGGAAGAAATATTCTTCAAACTGTGTTTTAAGGAGAGAGCTACTCCCTATATAATGGGCCCTTACGGGGCCGGGGGCCCAAATGGCTACCTTCAGGTATATGAAAAAGTACAGGGATTTCACTAGTTGAAATATAAGAAAGAGTAGAGAAATCTGTCATTTTGGACTGTAAAAAGGCCCAAAAGGGCTAAAAGATAAATTTATGGCGTTAAAAAGTTCTGATTTTGCAGTGATTGATTCATTTTAAAAGACATTGCATTCACAGCAGTTAAAAGGGATGAAAAAAATCTAATAAACTTGGTAAAAGAAATGGGTACCATTTGTAAATACAAAGTATATGAAAAGGGAACCTTTTTCGTGAAAAATGGTTTATAAATGGGCAAGGGGTTGGAGCTAGGGCGGGAGCCTCCCCGTATAAAACTTGTTGAGTACCACCCCCTCCCCCACTGGGATTGTGCCAGCGTTTTGGAAACCCTGTTGAATTCAATATTGTAAAGGGAGGGCCAATTTTAACAGTGGAGATTTTTTTTCTTTCGAAACAACAATCTACAAAGACCTGGGGTAGATAGGGATTCCAGGGACTCTAGGTTTGTCCCCTGACAGGTTGTTTCAGTTTTTTTCGTTTTTCAATATGGCGACGAGAAAACGGGAGCCGAATGGCAGGGCTCGAGTGGAAAAGGGGGCAGGTGTTCCATTTTCACAACAGAAGAGTATTTTTATTATCACAGGGCATCTAATGACAGACGTGTATTTTCTCAGTCCTTCACTATCTTAAGTTCAGTCACCGGTATAAGTCATTCCCGGGGGGGGGGGGCAGGGGAAAGTACTTCCTTATAAGAGGCCAATCCCGGGGATGCGCCGCTGAATGGGGTCGCATTTTCACGTCTGGATTGACTATAACGGGGTCGCATTTTTAACGGAGTTACTAGAATGGGGTCGCACATTTATTTTTGGGATTTTGGGGGTAAAAAAGTTCTTCACATTTACGGCTAGCAAACGTACCAGAATGTTTTGTACTGTAGGTGAAAAGTGAAGTATTCTTCATTCATTATAAGGTACTGTAGATTCATAAACAGATAAATAGAAAGTAAAGATGATGTTACCCGGGACGATTCGCAACGACGATTTTTAGCGCAACGCAGCGTAGCAATGTTGGAACAACGTTGCAACCATTCAAAATAATGTCGAAACAATGTTGTGATGCTGTGTTGCGCTAAAAATCGTCGTTGCGAATCGTTCCGTGTAACATCACCTTAACTATGGTGGGATCGAGAAAATTACATTTGCCCAAAAGTGACTAAGATGGGGTCTATTATTGGCCACCGTTATTATTGGCCACTGCCGTTTGTGTTACAAAAAAACCCCTACAAGATAATAAAATTCCAAAACCTGTCTATACAATTACGGATTAACCTTGATATACAAACCTAATTATAATGAGACTCTTACTAAGCACGAGTGAACCTTCAAGTGCAAACATAAAATCAGAAAATAAATACCGCGTGACAAAAATCTTCATAACAACCTAGAAAATTCTTCACAACATTATAGTGGACAGTCCGTTGCGGAGCTGTAAGACCTCATGTTGAAAATGGTGTGGTCTTAAGTTTACAATAAGAAATTATTAAATCTATCAAATCTATTAAGCAAATGCAGTTTTAAATGAACAACTTCAACAAGGTGCCCGGTGTAGTGGTCTATCTCACTTTCACACTCATGTATGGGGGCATCACCTTAAGCAGTCTGGCAAAGTCCCCCAACCAGTGTTGTAAATTATCCCTGAAAAGCCCTGAGGGGAGTGGATAATATGACATTTACATTTACACATTTACATTACATTTACTAAAAGGTGGATTTTGCATGTGCTACCTTTACAATGTTCTTACTAAATGATAGAAAGTAAGTCTTTGGTTGGTTATCTTTGAATCCAGAAATGAACTGCATGCAGATCTAAGCTCTGTTATCTCAGCGAAAGATGAAGATTCGCTTTGATTGCTTTCTGCTCTTATAGTATCTTCGTCAAAATAGCAGCAAGCTTTTCCATGGTGGCATTAGTAGACAGTCCTGTACATTTGCTCTTCAAGGTTTTTGAAAAAGGTCCTCACTGGTCATGGGCTTACTCGTGAGGTACTTTCTCACTTCCCTGAGGGCTCTTTTCATTACGGGTTAGAACTGGGGTGTTTGGTCCTGAACCTTCTCCCAACCCATCCGAGAAAGGTGCTGGGGATAAACGGGGTCTTTTGCTTTCCGGAATTTCCTCCTCGCTGAAAAGTCCTCTTTTACCGGCCCCTGCTGGACGCTTCTTAGCTTTTGCTGAAAAAGAAAAAGAACAGTTCATATAAAAATTGCTTGCGCACCTGATAAGGACCAAATACAAAAAAATTCGAAATAGTAAAAGTTCTTGCTTACGAGGCTTTACTAAATAAATGATTACTCCGTGAAATTTCATCCACGTATTGCGGAAATTACAGAAACTCCACTGAACTCAGCAAACACGTCTGGACTCTTAAAGAAAACAACATCAACTACTCTATCGCCTGGCGCATTCTATCTTCACACCTGCCGTACAACAGCTCAAGCAAACGATGCAACTTATGTCTTAAAGAAAAATTCCTTATCATCTGCCGACCTGAACTCTCTACACTTAACAAACGTAATGAACTCGTGTCTTCCTGCCGCCACAGAAACAAAGCCCTCTTGCGCAACAACTGATGTAACGAACCTCGCACTGAATAAATTATGTAAATCAGTCTAGTATATAAGTAATGGTAAAGTTATTCTCATTAAAATCCCCTGATGAGTGGGCAACCACGAAACAGGCTTGTAGGGATACTTATGTAGTTACTTGTTTTCTTCCGTCAACCATACGTATACTCGCTCTACTTTATGTATTGAGCACTGTTTTACGGATTTCAAGTTCAAACCTCTTATTGCGGAAATTAGATATTTCACCCCCAGTTGGTGGGGTTTTATTCACAGGGAGTCTCTGGCCGGTCACTTGCATAGGATGGATAATCCTACACAGCTATTGTACTCTGATTTCTGTTTGAGCATGCGTAATCAAGGACCCCTAGGTAAAGGTTCAAAGATGTTGCTAAGAGAAATATGAAAAGGAGAGACATAAATCTCGACCGTTGGCAGGTGAGTGTTAACGAGAGATCAAACTATGGTGAACCCTATAGTCTTAAGTCCATCAGTCTTAGTAGCAACGGCTGACAGCAGATGATGATGATTTGCCACAGCAGTGTTCTATGCATGGATTTCACTTACGATGCTCCATATCTTATAAGTCTTATCAAGCTGCCATTTTTTCTAACCTTGTAAAAACAACGCAGACAATCTCTTCATTTCATCCTGGTCGTCGTCGCCCTCGTGCTCGTGCTCGTCCTCGTTCTCATCCTCGTCGCCCTCGTGCTCGTGTTCGTCCCGGTTCGCGTTTTCATCCTAGTCGTCGTCGTCGTCGCCGTCGCCCTCTTGCTCGTGCTCGTCCTCGTTCGAGTCCTCGTCCTCATCGTCGTCGTCGTCGTCGCCCTCAAGCTCGTGCTCATCATCGTTCGCGTCGTCGTCGTCGGTGTCGCCCTCTTGCTCGTGCTCGTCCTCGTCCTCGTCCTCGTCCTCGTCCCAGGACTCCTTTCTTTTATCTCGTTCCCACAAGTCTTTTAGCCAACGTCCTTCTTGTGGTAATTCATCCTCATCTTCACTTGATGTCTCTTCTGCATTAAGGTCATCTTCAAGTTTCAAAGTTGTTGCATCTTCTGCTATGCGAAAACATAGTGAAAACCGTTTCAGTAGTACGATAGCGCTATTGTTGTTGTCGTATAATTTAAGATGGAAAATAAATGCTTCTTTTAAATGCTCTATGTTACCTCTTTTCTTTTACTTAAAGAGTAAGGCCAGGAATTTGTGTTATGTCCTCGAAAGGACAACAAGATAAATAAAAACAAGGAACAAAGTGTCAACTACAATGAATTTTCACCATACATGGAATTATATCTTTAAGGAGATTCTTTCAGGAACAAGAAATAATGAGCAAGACAATGCAATACAGGTCTTTATGATAAAGATAATAATAACAACAATAATGACGATGATGATGTTGTTATGATAATGATAACATCATCAAAGAGGAACTGAGGTGAATCGTGCCCACGGGGAAGCGGCTTTTTGTGTGACCGATTTTCCCAAGGTGAAACTCAGTGCCTCGGGGAAATTTCCATGGATACATCAATCAGAACAAAAAAAAATTACCCATTACATTTCCCGAAGTAAGGTCTTCTGGTTAATAAGAACCTAAGGCGGCTCAACCAATCACGAGAGATTGAAACGTACCAAAAAGTAGAAATCACATGTTGTTTACGTGCAGAGTCCGTCTTGGCGCCAAATCTAGCGCCAAACTGGACTGCGAAACCTCAGCAGGATTTTGAGCGCCGCAGTGAATGTTTTTCTGTATTTTACACTTTTAAATAAATTTAAAAGCACATGAAAAAAACTCGTAAGTTTTCTTTACATGTGTTCAAGAATTATTTCCTTATCAAATCGTTTCAAACACTTAATTTGTAAACCCGTACTTCTGACTTCTGATTTACCGTCCTTACTACTGCCTTTATCATCATCCTTGACGTCATTATCTTCTTTCTTGGGTTGTGATAAATGCCTTTCAGCTTCATGAGTGATCTGCAAGGACTAACAGGTTTTTTCATTAGAAGAAACTTGAAGATACGGAAAGCAGGAATAGAGTATAAACAGAAACTGTTACAGTCAAACTTGAATTAAGAGGTGTCTTACCAACGTCCGAAATATCGATTCCATGATTAATATATGTAAAACTTCATGGAGTTTATCAGTTTAAAATCATTTATAAAGATTATATGAATTTCATATATTGGAACTGCGCAAGAAAAAATGCAAAGACGATCTTCGCAGTTTAAAATGCAACTTATGCTGCTGTGAAAAAAAACCCCTGCAAAATTCAGCCTTTTAAATTCTAACACAACACCAACGCGAGAAACCTTAAAGACTGCGTGAAATCTATCTAGAATAAATATAATTTCCATAATAAAGTTTTTCGCCTCTGTTAGCAGTCCTTCATTTACCTTATTTGGTGTTTTGTTGAGCCAGTGCTTGTCTGCACTAATGGCCAGAGCACGTTCCTGATACTCCTTGGCTTGCTCAAAGTCACCTAAATCCTGGTAAATCAAAGCTAAGCTACTATAGCTTGTTGCAACATTAACATGTTCCGGGCCGAGCTTGTCCAGTTGAATGTCCGGAGCACGTTGCTGGTACTCCTTGGCTTGCTCAAAGTCAGCTAAATCCTGGTAAATCAAAGCTAAGTTATGATAGCTTGTTGCAACATTAACATGTTCCGGAACGAGCTTGTCCAGTTGAATGTCCAGAGCACGTTGCTGATACTCCTTGGCTTGCTCAAAGTCACCTAATTGCCGGTAAATCAAAGCTAAGTTAGCATAGCTTCCTGCAACATTAACATGTTCCGGGCCGAGCTTGTCCAGTTCAATGTCCAGAGCACGTTGCTGATACTCCTTGGCTTGCTCAAAGTCACCTAAATCCTTGTAAATCAAAGCTAAGCTACTATAGCTTGTTGCAACATTAACATGTTCCGGGCCGAGCTTGTCCAGGTCAATGTCCAGAGCACGTTGCTGATACTCCTTGGCTTGCTCAAAGTCACCTAAATCCTGGTAAATCAAAGCTAAGCTACTATAGCTTGTTGCAACATTAACATGTTCCGGGCCGAGCTTGTCCAGTTGAATGTCCAGAGCACGTTGCTGGTACTCCTTGGCTTGCTCAAAGTCAGCTAAATCCTGGTAAATCAAAGCTAAGTTATGATAGCTTGTTGCAACATTAACATGTTCCGGAACGAGCTTGTCCAGTTGAATGTCCAGAGCACGTTGCTGATACTCCTTGGCTTGCTCAAAGTCACCTAATTGCCGGTAAATCAAAGCTAAGTTAGCATAGCTTCCTGCAACATTAACATGTTCCGGGCCGAGCTTGTCCAGTTCAATGTCCAGAGCACGTTGCTGATACTCCTTGGCTTGCTCAAAGTCACCTAAATCCTTGTAAATCAAAGCTAAGCTACTATAGCTTGTTGCAACATTAACATGTTCCGGGCCGAGCTTGTCCAGGTCAATGTCCAGAGCACGTTGCTGATACTCCTTGGCTTGCTCAAAGTCACCTAAATCCTGGTAAATCAAAGCTAAGCTACTATAGCTTGTTGCAACATTAACATGTTCCGGGCCGAGCTTGTCCAGTTGAATGTCCAGAGCACGTTGCTGGTACTCCTTGGCTTGCTCAAAGTCAGCTAAATCCTGGTAAATCAAAGCTAAGTTATGATAGCTTGTTGCAACATTAACATGTTCCGGAACGAGCTTGTCCAGTTGAATGTCCAGAGCACGTTGCTGATACTCCTTGGCTTGCTCAAAGTCACCTAATTGCCGGTAAATCAAAGCTAAGTTAGCATAGCTTCCTGCAACATTAACATGTTCCGGGCCGAGCTTGTCCAGTTCAATGTCCAGAGCACGTTGCTGATACTCCTTGGCTTGCTCAAAGTCACCTAAATCCTTGTAAATCAAAGCTAAGCTACTATAGCTTGTTGCAACATTAACATGTTCCGGGCCGAGCTTGTCCAGGTCAATGTCCAGAGCACGTTGCTGATACTCCTTGGCTTGCTCAAAGTCACCTAAATCCTGGTAAATCAAAGCTAAGCTACTATAGCTTGTTGCAACATTAACATGTTCCGGACCGAGCTTGTCCAGGTCAATGTCCAGAGCACGTTGCAGATACTCCTTGGCTTGCTCAAAGTCACCTAAATCCCTGTAAATCAAAGCTAAGTTATGATAGCTTGTTGCAACATTAACATGTTCCGGACCGAGCTTGTCCAGGGCAATGTCCAGAGCACGTTGCTGATACTCCTTGGCTTGCTCAAAGTCACCTAAATCCTTGTAAATCAAAGCTAAGTTACTGTAGTTTGTTGCAACATTAACATGTTCCGGACCGAGCTTGTCCAGCTCAATGTCCAGAGCACGTTGCTGATACTCCTTGGCTCGCTCAAAGTCACCTAAATCCTTGTAAATCAAAGCTAAGTTAGCATAGCTTCCTGCAACATTAACATGTTCCGGGCCGAGCTTGTCCAGTTCAATGTCCAGAGCACGTTGCTGATACTCCTTGGCTTGCTCAAAGTCACCTAAATCCTGGTAAATCGAAGCTAAGTTACTGTAGCTTGTTGCAACATTAACATGTTCCGGGCCGAGCTTGTCCAGTTCAATGTCCAGAGCACGTTGCTGATACTCCTTGGCTTGCTCAAAGTCACCTAAATCCCGGTAAATCGAAGCTAAGTTACTGTAGCCTGCTGCAACATTAACATGTTCTGGGTCGAGCTCTTGAAGCTTAAAAGTGAGTGAATATTGAAAATATGTTTTTGCTCCTTCGAATTCACAGTGCATTTGACAAATATTTCCAAGGTTTTCGCATTTTTCGGAAATCTCCTTACCATGAACTTGAAAGAACTTATCTCGCAAAAACACTTTGTCAGTTACTATAGTTAAAGCTTTCAAATGTGGAACGATGTGTCTGGTGCTTAGTCGCTCATTTTCTGGTGGAGTTGCGACGACAAATTCGTTAAATGATGTAATGACCCCACTAACGACCTCATCGGTTTGGCTTTCTGGACACTCTTTTGCTAAAGTTTTTATAGCATCATGCACAACCTGGTGAACTCGAATAAAACAGCCACCCTCGTCATCTTGGAACAGCAGAAGTGAGCTTCTTTTTAATCTCATGCGAATGAATTCTTTGTCCGCTTCATCAAACTCTTCATGTGCGTCCATGATGTAACTAACTGCTATGTCGACGTTCAATGGTCGTGGAGCGCAGAGGGCAAGAACAGTGAAAAGGTGTTTTTGAAACTTGTCGGATCCCATCAGAGTTTCCACCGCTAACTTTATTGCTTTGGTCATTGAATTTGGATAAATTGGATTGGTGTCAATAAGTGCATCCTCCGTTTTCTGTCTTTTGCCTTTTTCTAAGATCTTCAGGTACTCCTCCCACTCAAAATGCGTCGATATCCTGTCCTGCCGCATCTCTTTAACAAAGACGGCAGCGCCTGCTAAAGCAAGAGGTTGATAATCCAGTCTTTGTGCTACTGTTCCTACTATGTCGCTATCTGGGATACCAGAAAGCTTGGACAATAATGAACGGGCGTCATTGGGCTCCATACCTTTGCTTATTGAGATGTGATTAACGAACGAGCTTTTTGAGGGAATTGACGTTGTGTCCTGGGTCGTAATCAGCAACTGGCCCCTGTCCCAAGCATTTGTTGTGAACTGTGGTAGAAGGTCTTGCACAGATGCCATGTTAGTGACGTTGTCAACTACTAGTAACCACGAAGTGTAGCAGCCAATTTTTTCCGCAATAAGCGTCGTAAGATTAGTGATCTTTTTCTCCACATTCCAGTCTTTTGACTCGAGTATTTTTATGACTGAATAGTCTGGGCATTTTAAATGGCGAGCCAATGAGGTGTACGAAACCAGAAGTGAATCTGGACTTGTAGCATTTAAGGTCATTGCAAAGGAAGACCCATCTGGCATTTCATTCACTTCGTCGTAGAATCTCTTAGCTACGAGGCCAGCTAGCTGTGATTTGCCGCTTCCAGGATTCCCTGAGATGTATAAATAACTCAACCTGTTGTCACTGGACTCATTTAGTTCCCTCAGCTGTTGGACTATTTTGGCTACTTCACTTTCACGACCACCGATTTCATGCGAAGGTTTAGGAGGGAGAACACAGAATGAAGGTGCTTCATTTTGGAGCTGATCCTCAAGGACCTGAACTTCTTGTTTCAGATTATCAACTTCTTTCAGGATCTTTGTTAAATCATTTGTTGGAAACGATTTCTGATATTTTAGGTCTTGAATTTTTACAGTGGGAAGACTAAGTGCTTGAAACGCAACATCAACTTTGCTAATAGCATTCTGAAAATCTGACTCAGAGAGACTACCTTGTGGCATGTGAGCGAATTCTTTGTTCCTGAAATTTCTTAGATCATCCACATTTTTACTGACTATTGCGCTAGGACGCAGCCCGACGCAATCAGAGAAAAGGATGGCGTAAAACAGCATTGTACAATCCCATTCCCCTCTGTTTCCGTGTTTCATAGTGGCCAAAAGATGAGCGTTTCTTTTTTGATTTCGAGGAGACTCTCCGTTATAAAAGTCCATTCCATTACGAGCCTCGTCTTTCCATTCTCCTTTTGTTGATTTGTATAGTTTGTCCCATTCTTGTTTGAATATTTCTCTCAGACCCTCCGCTAGTATATCAGTAGTTAGATAACAAATTCTGTAGTAGTTTAGCTGTTCATCGGTGAATTCTTGTGAAGACGCCATACTTTATGTCCGTCTGATGCTTTAACCTTTTGGGAAAATTATCTTTGCAATTAGTGACAACATACCCGGAGGTTGAGTGGGATTATTAACCGATAGAATTAATAATAAAGTGGAAAAACTAATTTAATTAATAAGCATGCGCTGAACCGTGAACCTGTCCCTTTTCCCTGTCCCACTAGGTCTCGGTTCGAATCCCTGCCGGACCAACTCTCAGGATCTTTAAATAACTGAGAAGAAAGTGCTGCCTTCGTAATGACATCTGCAAACGGTTACAGCTTCTAGTCCTCTCGGATAAGGACGAAAAACCGTAGTTCCCGTTTCACAGCTCTTAAGCTGATCTTGTTCTTGTGGGACGTAAAAGAACCCACACCACTTTTCGAAAATATTAGGGGACGTAGATCCCGGTGTAGTGGTCAACCTTAACACATCACATCATGGTTTGGCTGGGTACAGTAAGCTCATAAATGAACTGACAGCGGCTGCCAGTGGCGCTTTGTATGCTGACGTCCCAACTTACTGTTCACATGTTAAAATGTATTGTAAGGGGGCACGTCTGTTGTCCTCTTCACTCATGCATTCATTCATTCATGGTCCACCGGGCGATACTATCGCACGCAGTCCCGTTTTCCGTTTCTCCAAACATACGTGAGACGCCTAGGAACGACGCAGTTTATCTAATTATACCGAGTATTGACAGCTTAAAGACTAACAGAAATCTACTAAGCATATCTTCAGCCGCCTAAAAATCGTGAAAAAATGAAGCCTGTTCTGCAGGCTACTTTATATTCAGTTTCCCTCTCCAATTCAATAGGATTTACTTTACACTATAAATATTTTAACTAAACTCAGGCCGAATACTTGTAGGAAATAACTATGCAAAACAGTATGTCACGCTTCATCTGTAGAGACTCTCGATGAAGATTATAGAGTTTCGAAGGTAAACGAACGTTCAGAACATAAAGCTTATATCACTTTTTTGACTTTATATGACTGAAGAGAGTTAACGTCAAAAAGTTACTTCTAATTGCGCAATAATTTTTTTGTACTAGCTCTACGTTATTGCCGCAGGTCAAAGCTTGTTTTCACTTCATTCTGCTTTTAGAACGTTCTAAAACCAAAGCTTACTTCGGCAGCTTGAATAATGGACCGAAACAGTCAAAAATGGTCACAGAAAGGCTATCATTCCTTACCATTTGCTGTGAAAGTCTCCGTTCGACGTTCTTTTGAACATTCTCATAGTTTGATTAACCGACAAGAAAGCTTTCCGCATCATTCAATCCTACCATGTAAGGGAAGATGCCTTTTTTAAAGGGAACCTCCACTTCAACAAAAAGATAACTTTAAATCACAGGAAATAACTGTTACAGTCAAGTCAATCTAAAATATTTTTAAAGAAAGCGTTTGTATCCGAAAGAAATAACTTTTAGATTCGCCTATTTTTGTTTTCAAATTTTGCGGGCGTCGCCATCTTGAATAATTGTGACGTGTTATGGTTGCTCTATTGTTATTAAACAAAAGCTCTTTGTGTCAGAACAATAGAGCAACCGTAACACGTCACAATTATTCAAGATGGCGGCGCCCGCGAAATTTGAAAGTGATAATAAGCGATTTTAAAATTCACTTTTCCTGATATAAACACTTTTTTAAGGACAAATTTCGAACAAATTTGTTTATCAACATAATTTTATTTGATTTAAACTTATTCTGTAGTAAGAGTGGAGGTTCCCTTTAAACAAATGAAAGGGTTTTTGACCGCGTGTAGAAACACGCTGCTGCTTATTGCATTTTCTTACCGTTTGGAACTCCTGACTCAGACAGCAAATTTCGAAGATACCAAGTCTTGATAAGGTATTATTGAGCTTCTGCTTTAATGACGAAGGGGAAAAGGCTGTCAAAACGAAAGCAGAATGTTTTAAGGCGTCAGGACTATTTTTATTTTCATCATTATTCCTTTCAAATATGCATTACTGACCAAGCGTGAGGTCAGTATGACTGGATATATGGCCAAATTCCTTTATTTGCATTTTGTTAGACTTTCTAAAAGTCCTTTATTTTATTCATGGTTGGTTATGCTACGAGACTTCTTCGTTCGTTCGTACGCTGCGCGATCTCATGCATTGAAGCTCGCTTCGCTCACTTTTACGAACTCATGAGAGATCGACTTGTAGCAAGTCTAGCATTTTGTTTACCGATACGAAATCAGCCAATGAAAAAAAGAACGACGCCAATATACGCCACTTGCTCTTCTCCCATAATGCACCTAATTTGTCCTCCAAATTGCGTACGCATTATTTTCAATTTGTCTTAGGACGGCTGTAATATCCAGGAGAAATGGAAAACAACCTGAAAGGTTATGTAAAATTTTGGGGGCCAAATAAGGTGCATTATGGGAGATGTGCAAGTGACGAATCCAGCTATCTTGACCGAACAAGCTTGGTCAATAAAGTATTTATTTTATTGCCAAATTATCGTGGTATTTATTCACAACGGTTTGTCTTGCTGTTATTTAGTATTTTACAAGTAGGCAGGCCACCAAGACGCTAATTTATCTCGTTTTTTCCATTTCCCTTTCCAGCGTCCTTTGCGTCAAAGCTAAACGTTACCATGGTTCATTGCTAAGGAAATGTGGTAATCTACCCATTCGAGAAAATTTGGTAATCACGTGACCGTACGCCCGACCGTCCGTCCGCACAACAGGGAAACCAATGTTTACTCTCACACTTTCTAGCTAGTTTGGGAGCTTTAATAAGAGAAAGGCTAATTGCACATCAATGTTGTGATCAATTGACAGCTGTCAAAACAGGATATCCGCTGACCAATATCACCTGACCGTACCGCGGGCTCGAGTGTCGACCCATCGAAGTCGAGTACTTTTTTGAAGTTATCCGCTGACAAATTAATAGTTTCAAATGATCAAGTCTATTTTTTCCAATGATTCATATGAAATGTGTTGTGTTTTTGTCACTATGGCCCCGCACTGTCAAGATTTTGATTTCAAACTCACCTCGGACGCGAAAATTTAGCCAGCTTTTTAAAAATACAGGCGGGAAGACCTTTTCTTACCATGATCACGCGTTGGTCACGCTCTACGCCCAATTTGTGTACGCTGATTGGTCAAAATTTGACAGGTGAGTTCATGCGGAAAATTCATACAGCATCTTGAAAGTTTGTTACTTTGACAGCTGAAGCTGACAGAGTTTTGTGTCAACTTGTGATGTTTTTAGCTGTCTCAGCTGTCTTTTTCCACTGGATGTACAAAATGAAATACAGCTACTAACAAGAGTCTTCTGTTATCCATGGTTGGTTTGTTTATTGGGTTTTTGGTTGAGAAATGCGTCGCTTTTCAAAATTGGGTAATCCGATTTCGGATGGCATCGTTTTTGTTTTTCACCTAGCTTAATGCGTAAGAGGGTTTAAAAGTCTCAAGCAACTGTGGCCTTCCTTGATATCTTTCAGGAACTGAATCTCGAATGGTAAGCCTGAGTAATTATTGTATTTGATGTTAGTTTTTGTTATATTTGATTTCATGAAGTCGAGCACAGTTTATGCGGCAAGTTTTTGCACGTTTGTAAGATTTGAGTCAATGATCTGACCTAGTATCAGGTTTGATATAAGCTTACAGAACTTTAAAAGGCCTTCAGATATATTTTCTCACGGCAAATAGAAAGAAAACGTTCCGAAGAATATTTAGTTATAAATTTGGCTGTAGAAAAAAAACTTTGAGCGATTTTCTTGCTCCAAGGAGTTCATCTTTGAAAAAGGCAAACACCAGAAGGCCGGCTGAAGAAGTAAACCAACATAAACTTACTTGTCTTCGTGAATGAAAATTGTTGTCTCTGTAAATGTTTCACCGAATTATATTTCTTTTATTGATTGTTAGTAGTCTCTCTTGCAATTTTAATCGCTTGTCCGTTGAGTTTGTTTTCATCGTTCATGAACATCGCTTACAGGAGTACTTAAAAATGTTATAAATGTCGCGCGTATCAAACGCTTTATAAGATTACACATCGTTATAACTGAAACCATTAAATAACAAAAAATAATGATAATAAATTTGAGATTATGTTGAAGCGTATCTCTGTTAAAGTTCATTCAAACACTCGACCTTGACTGGCTGCTCGCACTAGAAATGAGAACCGGCTGTAGGGGTGATTTTGGAAATTTTTTGAACGGTTTCGCTAAAAGCCCACGATTGATCGTCCTGAACATTGACTGAGTGCAATTTGTCTTGAAAAATTGTGAAATACCGTATATACTGTCCGAGGTCTGTATGATAAATAGGTACTTTTTCACCTCAGATGTGATGTACAGTATATAAAGTATAAAAGGTTGGTTTTCATACCCTCAGATTTGTTGGCAAGAATAAATTGTAAAGTAAACCTATCGAACGCAAGAAAATTCGGCCTGATTTGTTTTCCAAGAATTTGTTTTCGAGGCCTAATCTACTGTGATCAAGAGCCATTATGGCTCTTGAATGTGATCGAAGATATTTTTTGGGTTATTTTTTGCTATTTTTTGGATGTACATATTTAGGCTATCAACTCGATGTAAGATGTTTCACTCTAAAATAACTTATCCTTTCCCTCAAAAGTCAAATGAATGTGCCCTTAAGTTAACTGATTTGTGGATTACAATTTTATTGTTTAATTTAAAATATAAATTTATTAACGGGAGCTTCGCTTTTAGCCCTGGCTAAATCTATATATTACGGACAGTTTGCTGTGTCCCTGGGCAAAGAAAGCCCTTACATTTTCTCTAAATTCAGCCCGCTTAATACGGACACCTCATTATTACGGACAGTTTGCTTTGTCCCTGGGGAAAGAAAGCCCCTACATTTTCTCTAAATTCAACCCGCTTAATACGGACACCTTGTTACTACGGACACTTTCTATGGCCCCCTCAGTGTCGTTATTAACGGGGTTTGACTGTACTGGCTCGATACATCATTAGATCCCATCCACCGTAGTCCCTTCGGACACCTCATGAAATTCACACAACGT